TATATAGCCATCCAACTCACACATAGGTGACTCTGGGTAGCTTACAAAATGTAAAGAAATTTAAAAGCTCAATATATAATAAATAACTTTTTCAAAGTTCCAGCCTTGCAATAAACTCCCTAACCCCAAAATACTTTTGGTATAAATACTTTATTCCAAATAGCAGTTTCAGTCTTGACATAATGATTATGATACTTTGAATCTAATGTAGTCATTCCCCAAGGTAGATTCCGACATGAAATGGGATGATGTTGGCATGTCTGATTTTTATCCCTTCAGTTTTATTATAAAATTATTTGCAGGGATTTCATTGGAGGGTAATTAATCAATCAATTTTTATTATGCTCGCAGATCATCACTATAAATAAAAGCACTGAAAATGACTATAAATAAAAGCACTGAAAATGACTATAAATAAAAGCACTGAAAATAATAAAGATAAATAAAAAACAAAATAATGTAGTATGATTAGTGGTGGGTTATCAGTGTGTAGTTAAGTCTGCCCAATTTTGCATACAGTATGGCCACCTTCAAAGAAGCTACTTCATGTTGATTTGATAAAAGTACATAAAAGACATCAGTATTGCCTGGATATTTTATTAAGTGAGGTGCTATAAAGTGAGTCCGTGAGCCTTTATAGAAGATGCAGTATAGTCATTAAAGGTTAAAAAAAAAGGAAAAGGTTCCCCTGGTGCATATGTGCTAGTCGTTTCCGGCTCTAGGGGGCGGTGCTCATCTCCGTTACAAAGCCGAAGAGCCAGTGCTGTCCAAAGACGTCTCCGTGGTCATGTGGCCGGCATGACTAAACGCCCGAAGGCGCACGGAATGCAGTTACCTTCCCACCAAAATGGCTCCTATATTCTTTCGAACTGCTAGGTTGGCAGAAGCTGGGACAAGTAATGGAAGCTCACTCTGTTACGTGGCGCTAGGGATTCAAACTGCTGACAAGCTGTTTCTGATCGACAAGCTCAGTGTCTTAGCCACGGAGCCACCACGTCCCTTTGAAGGTTAAGTTAAGCCAAGAATTGAAACCTGTGAGTACCTCGTCTCCCATCTGAGGGACGAAAGGAGAACGCCGTGGGATGGTGTCTAAGATCCAGTGAGGAGCGAACCACTCTTCTGTAGGCTCAGCATCCATTGACAGCAATCCACCGGGTTTCTTAAAAATGGAAACATGTCCAAGTTTGAATACAAGCAGAGAGATGGAGTAACCGATGCACAAGATCGTAAGTAAGGCGGGTGGTGAATGACCTCGCCTTAACCAAACGTTTCTTGGTGTGTCCTTTTTGAGACTTGCTTACCTTTTTCCGAGTCTGTTTCGGTTTCTTGTGCTTCTCTTCCTGTCCTTTTGTCTCTTTGACGTGCTCATCCTCGGAGCTGCTGCAGATCTGGCGAGCCGTTTGCCTTGTCTGTCTTTTCGGGGGCTGGAGATTAATCCCAGCATCGGCGGTCCAGTCGGAATATTCGCTGGACGAATCGCTGGAATTGTCACGTGAGGAAATAAATGAGAAACAATGAGTGGGGTCAAACGCAATTCGAAGGGCCTCGAAGGGAAGTTAAGAGCATGTCGCCGACCCAGAAATACTCATATAAAGAGAAACGTTACCCTTCTCAAGTTTATTCCTTTCTAGTTTCATACCAGTTAATTTTTTCTTGTTTAATTCTAATTAAATTTTCATTTGCCACCAAATTCTACTTTTTCTCTCCTTCCGATCAACTGTGCCAATTCTCAGAGACTGCTTGGACAAGACCCCTGACATTTTCTTGGCAAGGTTTTTCAAACGTGGCTTGCCATGACTTCCTCCCTAGATCTGAGAATGAGCGATTGGCCCAAGGGAACCCAGCTGGTTTTGCAACCAAGGCAGGATCAGAACTCACAGTCTCCTGCTTTCTAGCCTGGTGCCTTAACCAGTACATCAAACTTCTAAATTCTAATGATCCACCTACAAAATATTCTTAAGGCAAATTCATTCATTCATTCATTCATTCATTCAGTCTTTCATTCATTCATGGCCTTAGAATAGCATGGAGAAGAAGTGTGCTTTTTGTATGATAAAATATTCCCTTTTCATGAAGGGTAATTAAAATACCTGGAACTGCTTTCGCTCTGCCACACAGCTACGTTGTCATCTCCAGAAGCATCACTGCTGCCCACGGATTCAACTTCCTGAATTGGAGACAAAAACACAAACATTCTTCAAGTTTGTAAAGATTCTCAGTCTCAGGTCATGATAGTTTCAAAGGTGCTTTTTTTTTTTTTTTCAGGAGGCAACTGGACTTTTTTGTTTTTTCTTTGAAGACATTTCACTTCTCATCCAAGAAGCTTCTTCAGCTCTGACAGGACAGAGAAGAATGGAAGGATTTATACTCCTTGCAGACAGCTGGTCACATGCATCCTTTGGGAGGACTGTTGAAGCACTTGGAGGTTTATCTATGTCCTCCTGTGAGGCCTCGAGTTGCCTCCTGAAAAAGCACCTTTGGGATAACCATGGCCTGGAGGACTGAGAATCTCTACAGACTTTTAGCTATACAATTTGGGATGAACACCTTTGGAATGGTGTGGGAGAAGGAATGGATTTCCAGAAGAAAGAAAAAATTGTAGACTGCAGGAACCAGGAGCATCTCTCAGGTGACCCTGAGGACGGACACAGATAAACCTCTAAGTGGCCTCAACGACCCTCTAAAAAGGATGCAAATGACCAGCTGTCTGCAAGGAGTATAAATCCTTCCATTCCCCACCATCCTGTGAGAGTTGAAGAAGCTTCTTGGATGAGAAGCAAAACGACTTCAAAGAAAAAACAAGAAAGTCCAGTTGCCTCCTGAAAATAAGCACCTTTGGGACAAATGTTCTTCATTTATTTTCTTTGGAGTGAGGTCTTCCTAAGTTAAACTTAGCAATAGAAATAGAAAGCTGTGGTCATAAGTCAAGGACTAACTGTATAGTTGTTCTTTTTAAATGAAAAGGAAATAGCAAAACAAAATAGAATTCTTTATTGGCCAATTGTGATTGGACACACAAGGAATTTGTTTTGGTGCGAATGTTCTCAGTGTACATAAAAGAAGACATACATTCGTCAAGAATCGAGAATCATAAGGTACAACACTTAATAATAGTCATGGGGTACAATAAATCAAATCATACTAGGAAACAGTCAATATAGATCGTAAGGATACAAGCGACAAAGATACAGCCACAAGTTGGAGGGGATGGGTGATAAGGAGTGATGAGAAGATTAATAGCAATAGTAGTGCAGACTTTGTAAATAGTTGGACAGTGCTGAGGGAATTATTTGTTTAGCAGAGTGATGGCGTCTGTAAAGACTCTAAAACAACCTTTAAAAACCTAAACAAACACACTAAAACAAACCAATGAAACAAGGAGTGAAGAGAAGATTAATAGCAATACTAGTGCAGACTTTGTAAATACCGTGTTTCTCATATAATGCCGGGTCTTATTTTTTTTTGAGCCCCGAAAAAATGGCTAGGCCGTCTTTTCGGGGGTGACTTAATACCCCCCCTTGAATCTTTGGGCGGGCGGGCAGTGATGGCTTGGATGTTGACCTCGGCATTGGTGGGGCACTTCGTATCGGGGTCAACGCAGGCAGCACCATATCCAGGTGTGCAACAAAAGTACTTCCTAACGGCAAGCCCCCCCACCATTCTCCCCCATTTCACATGTTTTAATATAGGCCTTAATTTGGGGGGGAGGGGCTTAATTTCATTTCATGCCTATAAAACATGCTGGGATTTCCTATTGGGGGAGGCCGTATTGTTGGAGAAACAGGGTAGTTGGACAGTGTTGAGGGAATTATTTGTTTAGCAGAGTGATGGCGTCTGTAAAGACTCTAAAACAACCTTTAAAAACCTAAACAAACACACTCAAACAAACCAATGAAACAAGCTTGGGTCATCTCACCTCTGAGGAGCTCTCCGAGTCTTCCTGGGTGTGGGAACTTCTCCTTACACTTTGTGTGTGGCGGTCAATGGTGGAACGTGTTTGGTAAGCGTGTTGCCGCCTGCGCTGGTTTCTGCGCAAAGACCGCCCGCTACCGGGTTGGTAATCGCTCTTTGATAATAACCAGGAAAAAGCAGGAGTTAGAAGTTTAAATTTGGAAGGTGGGGAAGCATTGGCTGCAAGAAAACGTTTTAAGGTGAAGCAAGTTTTAATGTTCTTGAACGTAGCTATGAACGGCATCTCAAATTCTAGGCCTGCCTGCCTGCCTTTTTGTTTCTTGGGCAAACATTAACCGCAACTACAAATCTGGAAACGTCTGCTTCAATTTTGTCTGAATTCAGGTTAACTCTTTTATTTTAAAGTTTTTAGAATTAAAAACAAAAAAAACAAATTGTGCTCAAATACAATGCTTTTTTTCCAAAGGCCTGGCTTCTTTCTACCAAGAATTTCCCTAGATCTAGATTTTTTCCTTTAACGTATTATATCATCCATCCATCCATAAAGCGGCTAAATTTCCAATGAGTTAGTGAAGAGGGTCTGGTGGCTGGAAAAAAAAAATATTCCCATTTTTCGAAAAGATTTCTCACCCTCTGCAAAGTGTGGGATGGCTTTCTCTTCTTTTCAAGGGTATACAGGTGGATTTCCAATTCACCTTTGGCTGCTCGGCATTCTTCCTGAACTCTTGAAGAAGAAAGATCGAATTTGGATTATTGTCCAAATATTTTCACAGATCTCCTGTTACTTGGTTCTAAACCTTTTTCTTTGTTTCTTTCTTTCTTTCGAGGAGAAAGAAGGATTAGTAATTTTACCTGCTGTCCGTGGCTGAAGCATTCTACTATGCCAGGGGTGTCAAACTCAATTTCATTGAGGGCCACATCAAGGCTGTGGTTCAGGGGTCGCCAACCTTTTGGACCTCAGGCACCACCAAACTCATAATTTTAAATCCCGCGGACCAAGAGACCCTGGGAAAATCCCCAAAAAAAGTCTGCAGGAAAATTCCCCACCCCGTTTTCCTACCGATCAAACATTCTTTATTTGGGATCGCAGGATACCGTCTCTAGCTCCGTTCTCAAGGGGAGAGAGAGAGAGACTTTGGGCTTCATGCAAGGAAAGCAGCAGAAGCAGCAGAAGTCTTTCTTTCTCTCCTCCAAACTCTGCCAGAAATGAGTCTTTGCTGGCTCAGCCTCTTCAAGCAGGAGGCCTTGCAGGGTCCCAAAGACTCATTTCTGGTAGAGTTTGGGGGGAGAGAAAGAAAGATTTCGGCTGCTTTCCTTGCATGCAGCCAAAAGCAGAAGAAGAAAGAAGTGGAAAGCAGCAGCCTGGTGGCCAAGCCAGGCATGTGGGGTGAGTGGGGCAAGTTTCCCCCTCTGCCCTTTCCCCCCTCCCCTCACTACCTCGTGTTGTTCACAATGCAAGCGATGCAAGCCTTGTGTTCTCACGGGCCATGTGGGTGGCGCAGCCTGGTGTTCCCGCACAGCCTGAATTCCTTTGAAGGTGACATTTCTCTGCGAAACACCAAAATTTTCTCGCAGACCACAAGTGGTCCCCGCCCCGCTGGTTGGCGACCACTGCTAGGGTTGACGTTGGGAGGCCGGGAAGGCGTGGCCGACTGGGTGGATGGGCGTGGCTGACTGGGTGGGCATGGCCAGCTTGATAACACTCCCCAAATTGCTGGCACGTTTCCTCTTCGCACCGGGCTGAAGCGACGCGGGCCGGGCCCTTACATTTTCCAGGATGGCCCTGCAGACCGCATGCAGTCCACGGGCCTTTTGTTTTTGACACCCCTGTACTATGCCTTTAAATTGCCTAGGCTTGTGTTTTTCAACCTTGGGAACTTTAAGCTATGTGTGGACTTAGATTCCCAGAATTCCCCAGCCAGCATGCTGGGCTAATTTCACAGGGTAATAGCCTGTAAAGGCAGTGCTTGACTGAGGACCACAATTGGGACCGGAACGTCATTGAGAGAGGGGGGTCATTCAATAAGTCATCCCATCACTGTGGTTTTTGCAACCTTTTCTGGCCGTTGTTGAGCAAATCTGGCTTTCCCTCCTGACTCTGCTAGCAAGGAAGTCCCCTGGGGAGGTCACAGGTGGCTCTGTGAGGCTCCAATGCAACTGGTTGTAAATAGGGGTGGGATTCAATCAGTTCGGGCGAACCGGATGTTAAATTTACACCTGGTTTGCCAAATCGGTAGTTGAACCGACCGGCTGGCCCCGCCCACCCCGCCTCGCCCCTCCCAGGAGTCTCCACATGGCCTGTCTTGGATGCAGGTTAAGTGCAGAGGCTCTGGGAGGACAAAAAAAAAGAGCTCCCAGAAGTTCTGGAAGTCCTAAAACGGGCCTGTTTCTGGCTTCCGGAGGGCCTCCGGAGCCTGGGAGAGGCCGTTTTTGCCCTCCCAGAGGCCTGAGGGAAGCCTCCGGACTCTGGGGAAAGTAAAAAAAAAACAGCCCTCTTGGAAGTTCTGGTAGGCCACGCCCATTATGACCATGCCCACCCAGCAACCAAGCAGAGAACCGCCCCGGGTTGTAAATACCGTACATGCCAGTTGCCAAGCATCCAAATTGTGATCGTGTGACCAAAGGGACAATGTTATGTGATGGTTGTAATGGCGAGAACCGGTGGTCACGTTTTTCAGCACCATGGTAACTTTGAATGGTTGTTAAAACAAATGGTCATAAATTGAGGACTATATCCCTAAGTGATCATTTTAAACAAGCTCCAATTTCCTTGGGACAAAATGGACTAAATCATTTTTTTTTTTTACCTGCTAAGTCCAGGGGGCAGCTCGTTTACTACTACTCTCCTGCTCCATGCCATCAGGTCTCTCTCCGTGGCCATCTGACTTCTCGGAGCATTGTGGTGCATTTGACGGACACCTTCGATCTGACCGCTCCGCCTGAGTCCAACATTTGTGGGGGAAGCCATATCCAAGCTTGGGCTCCTCAAAACTGCCAAAAGAAGCAGAATAAAATCAGAACCATAAAGGAGAATATTTGTAGCTCAGGGCTGAAATGAGGGGGTCCTTGATGCTTTCTGAGCTTGGTGGTTTTCTTGCAGACTACAGATTACAGATGAACAGAGTTAGAAGGGACCTTGTAGGTCATCTAGTCCAGTGATCCCCAACCTTTTTTATGCCACGGCCCGGTACTGGCATCAGCTGGGCGCCGCGGCCCGGTACCGGCATCAGCTGGGCGCCGCCATCTTTTTTTGATGAAAAAGTGCTTCCGGTGAGCTTTCTACCCGGAAAAGCTCACCGGAAGCACTTTTTCATCAAAAAAAGATGGCGGTGCCCAGCAACCAGCGGCCCGGTAGGACTTGTTCCGCGGACCGGTACTGGTCCGCGGACCGGTGGTTGAGGACCCCTGATCTAGTCCAACCCCCTGACAAAGCAGAAGACCCTACACCATTTCTGACAGATGGCAGTCCAATCTCTTCTTAAAATGAAGCTCCCGCAACTGTCGAAGGCAACTTCTGTTCCATTGGTTGAGTGTTCTGTCAGAAAATTTCTCCTTATTTCCAGGTTGAATCTTTCCTTGTTCAGTTTCCATCCATTATTCCTTGTCTGGCCTACAGTTGCTATAGAAAATAGCTTGACCCCTTCCTCCTCTCTAGGGCAGCCCCTCAAATATTGGAAGACTGCTCTCCTGTCTCCCCTGGTCCTTCTCTTCCCTAGACTGGCCAGGCCCAGTTCCTGCAATCGTTCATTGTATGTTTTAGCCTCTAGTCTCCTAATCATCCTGGTTGTTCTTCTCTGAACTTTTTCTAGTCTCAACATCTTTTTTAAAGTCCAAAACTGGATGCAGTACTCTAGGTACGGTCTTACTAAGGCTTTATAGAGCGGTATTAGCCCCTTAACTTGATCTTGATTTTATCCGTCTGTTAATGCAACTTAGGATTGCGTTGGCTTTTTTGGCTGCAGCTGCTGGCCCATATTTAGCTGGTTGTCCACTAAGACTCCAAGATCCCTCTCACAGTTACTGCTACTGAGCCTGGTTTCACCCAGTCTATATGTGTACTTTTGGTTTTTCTCACCTAAGTGTAGGACTTTACTCTTCTTTAGACTGAATTTCATTTTGTTAGATAGGGTCCAGTGTTCAAGTCTGTCAAGATCCATCTGGATCGTGAGCCTATCTTTCAGACGTTTCATTACCCAATTGGTGCCATCATCAGGTCTAACAGCTACCTAGTATGGGTAATGAGATGTTTGCAAGAAAACAACCAAGCTCAGACAGGCACCAAGGACCTCTCAAAATCAGAACATACCATGTCATGCCCCTATCAGAGTCTGAATCCGAGGAGGAAGACAAACAGCTGACAGGGAGTGGGAGCTGACAGGGAGAGGCTCAATTGGCTGTGGAGGAAACTGGGGAAGAGCAAAGTCCGGCTGGGCAGAGCAGGGAAGAGGTAGAGCAAGGGAGAGGGAATTTAGAGGAAGACCCAGACCCTCCCCTCTTCATCCTAGGGCACGCAGGGAGGAACGAAGAAGAGAGCAACGTGGGTTGCATGGCTTATGGGGGAGGAAAGGGCCCTGATTCCCTTCATTAGCCACACCTGGGAATGAGAGTTTAAAAGAGATGCATGCTGAGTGCGGCAGCTGCTGGGAGCAAATGTGACTTTGTTGACTTTGCTTATCTGTGTTCCTGGCATCTTCCCAATCGTGTTGAGTTATTGCCATGCCTTCATGTCTGGAATTCTTGTTCCTGCCCTGCCAAACTAATTATCTCATCTTGCCTTGATTGAACTTATAGTTACAGTTTTTATTGACCATGTTTTTGGACTTGATTTTCTGCAGCCAAAGGCCGTTCCTGGGAGAGTTTTTCTCCTGCCAGAAGGTAACCAGGACACTGGGGGCAAAGTTGGAACTAGTAAAGGGACTCCTACTAATTATCTGACTGTATTGCCTTTGTGCCACGCCCCAGGTCATCACATCGAGCCAAGCAAAAACAAAACAAAACCCTACAACCTTCTACCGTTTTTGCTTTGTTAATAGGGCCATGGAGAAAGTTGTGATTTCCCACCTTCTTGCAGAAGGACAAGAGGAGAGGACTCTTACTGTGCACAGACTGCGATCTGTTCTGCGGAGGGTTTGGCGGTGCTTCACTCTCGCTGAGCCGTCTCAAGTCTTGCTCCCGCTGCAGCTCTCTGATCATCCCATCCAGGATGCTCCCTTCTTGATCGTTGGTCTGTTGCCCGATCACTTGCTCCACCACTTCGCCATCACCTTTGCGAGATCAAACATGGCGTTAAGCGGAGAGGAACCAGAGCAGGGAGTTTTTGACGTGTAACGGTTGTGACTGTTCGAAATTACAACAGCACTGAAAAAAAGTGAGACTTTTTCTCCAGCCAGAAGGTAACCAGGACGTTGGGGGCAAAGTTGGAGCTAATAAAGAGTCCTACTGATTAACTGACTGTGTTGCCTTTGTGCCATGCCCCTTTGGGTCATCACAGCCTGTATTACATTCCAAATGTACAAAGTGTACAGAGGCTTTTTGAAAGAAACTACCACTCTGGGATCATGACAACCAATAACCCTGTTACCATCTCTGGGCCATTTTCACAGGCCGCCCCACCAACGAAGCCTAGACGACGCAGTTAAGTATCCCCACCACCACCAGATCAACTTCAGCTCTCTTAGAAATTCTGTACCATTTGCTACGTAGCCCAGTTGAGGGATAAGTTGCTCGTCTTTGCAATTTTCCCGCCCGGGCACCAGTCGCTGGTATCTTGTGGGGTGAGGGTTCCCATCCACATCTACCAAGAAGGGGGGAGGCATGAGATGTGGGGCTTGTTGTGTTTGTTCATCGAGCACGTAATTGTTAGCATCCCGGATCAGCGGCCGATAATCTGTATGGAAGAACATCTGATCTGGAATCTACATGAGACACAAAGAGTGCACACACACACATACACACACATATATATGAATCATTGTTAACGAACATTATTATTCATATATTATTATTGTTATTAATACAAAAAGCAGGCTGAGTGTGAGAGCTGGACTCTAAAGAATGGCTGACCAAAGAACAACCTTTGAATGCTGGTATAAATTACTGCATGTGTCATGCCCCCATGAATCTGCAGAGGAGGAGTCAGAGCTAGAATCTACAGAGATGGAGGGGGCCACTTCGGAGGAATGTAGGGAGGAGCAGGCCGAGGGAGCCCAGGGCCCCTCAGGATTGGGACGGCTTTTGAGCAGGGAGGAACGTGGGCAGGATGACCGAGAGAGGGAAAGCAGTGAACATGAGGAACGACGGAGCTCAGGCGATGAGCAAGGACTGCCTCCTCCTGATCCCTGAGCACGGAGAGTGGAGAGAAGGCGGGAACAGCGCAGGCTGACCCAAAGATTCGGGAGGAGAGCGCCCCACCCCTCTTCACAAGGCACACCTGGGGACTGAGACTGAAGGAGACGCTGTCGGGAACAAATGCTGAATTGGTAAAGTTTGGTGTGCTGCTACAGACATTTGGAGTTTGTAGGACTGCTTGCTCCTTACTTTGTGGACTCAGTGCCTTCTTCTTGACTTCGTGGACTCACTGTTTGTTTCTTGGTTTGTGGACCCATTTCCCTGTTCCTTTGTTTTGCTGGTCAGGGCGTAGCCAGAGACTACTATGTGTGTGCGTGCGCACACACGCTTTGCTCTGGGGCTTGCCAAGAACGTGGGAGTGTTTGAGGGGAAATTTGGAGCATTAAAGGGGAGTTTTGAATTCTCAGCTGGCTGTGTGATCGTCACACCTTGTCCAGGGAACCACGGATAGCCAGAACAACCAAGAGGTGCTGAATGGTATAACGCCAGATACATCACTAGAAGCCAAAATCATAAGGCTACGTCTAGTTTACTTTGGCCATGACATGAGTGCAAATTCATTCATTCATTGGAGAAAGCAATGGTGCCAGGAATGGTTTGTGGAACAAGAAGAAGAACTCGCTGGCTTTTGATACCATCAAAACTGATACAAGGATGAACATCTAATAACAATTGAAAGAAGCTGTGCTCGACAAGGTTGCATGGAGAGCACTTGCCCATAAAGTCGTCGAGAGATGGACAAAACCGAACAATTAAAACTGTTTATACAACTCAAAGATTACATTAATGCTCCAATCTTAATATGCTATCTTTTTAATGGACAGACATTATCTGGAAGTTGAGAAGTTTCAGCATGGGCTCATCCAAACATTCAAGTTTATTTACTTCTCTATCAACTTAGATGCTGCTTTAAGTATAGAGCGATTCTTTTCAAAGCAGCAGATTGAATCAAACTCATTCATCTATATGTACACGCACAATAGAACAGACTTCAATGATTTCTTGTGGGGGTTTTTTGCGTTAACTTTTGCTCTTTGTCAATACAAACAGAAGTTCTGGGACTAGCGGTGTATGCAGTTTCAGATACCACAGGAATTGAGATCATAATATTCTACCAATTCCTCGGAAGAAAGAAGTATATTGTACTTATTTTACATAAACCATTTATTTCCAAAACCAATTTAAGGTACGACTGGCAGAAATTATATGTAATCCAATATATTCTAAACACACCAGTGGAAGGAATCTACATTCACTATACAAGTATCACAAATCAAAAAAGGACAAAGCTAATTTATGGGAAGCTCCTTTTGGCCTGAATGGAGCCCAAAGAACGTGCTTAATGAACCACGGTGATGCAGTGGTTGGAGTGCAGTACTGCAGGCTACTTCTGCTGACTGCCAGCTGCCTGCAATTTAGCAGTTCAAATCTCACCAGGCTCAAGGTTGACTCAGCCTTCCATCCTTCCGAGGTGGGTAAAGTGAAGACCCAAATTGTTGGGGGCAATAGGCTGACTCTTTGAACTGCTTAGAGAGGGCTGTAAACCACTGTAAAGTGGTATATAAGTCTAAGCGCTATTGCTATTGCTTAAACTTACCCATACATTTACAGTATGGGTAACAGTTTCATCTGAATTATATAATGCCCATGCTAGAGCTGTCTTTCCAGTGCAAATGCAGCTCTAGAAATGCTCAGCCTTACCTTTTCAAAGTGTTTATTGCACCCAAACCCAAACAGTAAGAGGTGCCCGTGGGAATCAGTGCAAGCAAAATGCTGACCATCTGGGGAGAATTTGCAGTCAAATACAGCACCGTGACCCTGGCCCTCGATCTGTTAAAAAATAACAATAAAAAGAGAGAGAGGAGGGAAGAGAAAAGACACCATGTTTACAACCATTTGGAAAGGTTTCATTTTTTCAAACCAAGCCCCTCAATGAGGTCTATTTGACTTGCTCAGTTCCAAAACAATGTGAGAGTTCCCCTTTGTTCAGTCGTCTCCAAACTTGGCAACTTTTAAGACTTGTGGTCTTCAACTTCCAGAATTCTCCTGTCATGCCCCTATTGGAATCTGATTCTGAGGAGGAGGTCGAGCAGCTGACAGGGAGTGGGAGTGTGGCTCTGTTGGCTGTGGAAGAAACGGGGGGAGGGCACAATCCGGCTGGGCCTTCAGAGGAAGACCCAGGCCCACCCCCTCTTCATCCTAGGGCATGCAGGGAGGAACGGAGAAGGAAGCAACGGGAGTTATGTGGGTTACGGGGGAGAAAAGGGCCCTGATTCCCTTCATTAGCTGCAGCTGGGATTTAAAAAAGGGTGTTTGCTATCTTGCTGGAAGCAAAGCATAGCTGGCTGGAGAATTCTGGGAGTTGGAAATCCACAAGTTGCCAAGTTTGGGGACCCCTACCCTAGTTAGATGAGTAGCCGTGTACAACTGGGAAATAAAGAAATGCCCAAGACATTTGTGTAATTCTCTCCACTGGAGAAAAACCCAACACACTTGACAGATACTGTATATCCCATGTCAGGTCTTACCATGTTGAAGTAATTGCGAATTTTTGTTCCTTTCTCAAGATCCCAAATGAAAATGTTCCCATCGTGGCCCGCAGACAGCATGATCCTTTGGTCAAACGGGTGAGCCTCTAAAACAAACACTTCATCGTCGTGGCCCTATAACAAAGGTAAAGACAAAAGTAAAGATACAGGTGATCTTCCACCGAGCTCATTTAGTGACCGTTCCAAGTTACAATGGCACTGAAAACAAAAAAGTGACTTAGGGCCATTTTTCAGAGTTACCACCTTTGCAGCATCCCTGTAGTCACGGGATCAAAATTCAGACGCTTGGCAACAGACTCACATTCATGACGAATTGCAGCATCCATAAAGTGTGAGGACCAGTTGCAAGTCGCTCTTTTTCAGTGCCACTGTAACTTTGGATGTTCCTCAATAAATGGTTGCAAGTCAAGGACTACCTATGTTTACAATTAATGCAGTAAGGCTGGATGATGCCCTGGTATTGTCCAACGTTACTGCATTAATGGTGGTTAATATAATGATGGTTAATACAATAAAACATGGGAATTGTTGCTGCATCAATGATGGTTAATATAATGTTTAATATAATAAAACATGGGAATTGTTACTGCATTAATGATGGTTAATATAATGATGTTTAATATAAAACATGGGAATTGTTACTGCATTAATGATGGTTAATAAAACATGGGAATTGTTACTGCATTAATGGTGGTTAGTATGATGGCTAATATAATAAAACATGGGAATCAATGTGAATAAGGAAAGGAAAAGGAAGCAAATTCAGCCAGATTCTGTTTCCTTCATGCAGGCTGTCTGCGAATTTGGATTTTATTTTACTTTAAGGGGTTGTTGTTTTTTTTGGGGGGTGGGGGAGGGCAAAGTTCAACAAAACAGGGACCACTTATGAAAAGCAGAGCAGAGATTGGAAACTGCTGATTTTTAAGTGCTGCTACTTTAGATGCCTTATTTAAAAGTAGCTCCAGTGTTCGTTGGCCAACATCCTTTGAGGGTCTATGTTGGCTTCCCCAAGCATGATCAGATTTTGATTTGAAGACGTGCAAACTGGAGACCCTGGGGTTGCAAAGTCTGAAACCCTCCAGAACATTAAAATGTTGATCTCTGTAACAAGCCAACTTAGGTAGTTTTTTTTAAAAAAAACAAAACTTACAGATAAACTATGGAGAAGCTGCCCGGTAGAAGAATTCCACACTTTCAGAAGGAAGTTGTTCACTGCTGTAATAACAGTGGCGTCGTATCGATCCCAGGCTACCATCGTCACCTTCAGCTTGGACACTTTGTCTTCTCCAGACAGGACATTGTTCCTGGGAAAATTAAAGCAACAAGAGTATGGCAAAGGGCAAAAATATCAAAAATGATAAATTGATCAACACTGAACTAAAATACCGATAGAAGGGAATATTTGTAGCTCGGGATGGCAATGAGCGGTCCTCTGAGCTTGGATGTTTTTTCTTGCAGACCCTTCATTACCAAACTAGGTAATGTCATCAGTGCTAGAATGAAATGGGGGCTTGCTCTTATTTTTTATTTAGTAGTCGTTTGCCCCATCGGTGTTGGTGGGAGTATTCTTGGCCATTCCTTGATTAGACTATTGTTCAGTGTTAAATTGTTTGTCTGCATTTGTCTTTTCTGATTCTGGTACTGTTTACTTCATTTTTGGTCTAATGTTAATCTTGGTTTTAATTTCTGCTCAACAAAAAAGCAAAAGCTTTTGATTTTATTTTATTTTTACCCAGTCATTTTAGTGGCCATATCCAGGACTATGTTCTTCCATTCTTGCTGCTGGTATTGCCAGACTCGGGCTGTTCCATCTCGGCTTCCACTGACAAATCTTAGCCTGCATTTCAGAGTAAAAAAGAACAATTACTCCCTGCTGCTTGGACCAGGACCTGCTTTATCTGTGTCCATGTCAACTTCCTGTGATTTTCTTTCTTTTTCTCTTTTTAATTTTATTGATGCATTTTCCTTTAACATACCTAAGAGCTTAATCTGGGTCAATTTAGTTATACATAATAATGGTAATAATATTATTTACATGCATGTAGTGATAGTCTTCCAATTTCTAATTTCTAGCTCTATTATCTTTGATAAAACAAATCCCATGTTAAAAAATATTCTATATCTTCTTTATCCTTGATCTTTAATGTTAACCTATCCATTTCAGCACAATCTAATATTTTTTAAATTACATTTTCATCTGTAGGAGTTCCCACATTTTCCCAGTATTGTGCAAATGCAATTCTCGCTGCGGTCAAAACATGTAATATTAAATATATGTTAGCCTCCTCTCATTTTTTTTAAACAAATTTTATTAATTTTTAAAAGCATACAAAACATACAAAATAAACATAAAACCTTTTTTCTAAAAATTTCTAAAAATTATTTGAAAGTTTTACAACATTAACACATTTCCTTACAATCACATATTTTCCCTTTCTAACTTGCTTTATTTTCTTCTATCTTTCTCTCCATTGTCCTTTTCTAACCTTTCTCCAAGGTTTTATTAGCTCATTCAAACATAAACTCATAAGAACACAAAACATATAAACATAAAAAAAAACATCTTTTCTGAAAGTTGCTTAATCCCGGGTCAAAACTCTTTGTACAGACACCAACTCAAATTCATATTCATTTTATATTCCATTCCATATCTTATTACCATTTTCAATTTTTTATATAGGTTCTTCTCTCTCTTAGATTCTCTTAATTTTATTTTATTTATCTCATCTCAATTCAAATCATAATATTTATTATTCTTTGTCTGTTTATTTCCAGCTATCAATTTATCTTTCTTCTTTAAAAAAAAAGCTTCTCCTGTACACTAATTGGAGTATGACGCCTTTACCTCTTTCCCCTACATTTATAATACTTAATATAAAATACCTAACTTACATTGGGATTCTATTTGGTACATTCTAAAATTATACAATATTATCAATACCAATACTAATCTATTCATTAATATTCATATTCTTTTATATCATAAACACTTAGCACATTACTTTTCAATTAATTAACATACTTTTTTTTATGAAAACAATTTTATTGATTTTCTACAAACAAGACAAACAAAACATTAAAACATCAACTCTCTTATGTACGTACAGTGTGTCGGTTGGTTCATCAGTTCATCAGTTTTGTGCATTCATTTCATAGTCTCAATTGCAGTTATATTACATAACAACTCATATTGTCAATCCAAACTTATATATCCTAATATCGCTATTAATAAATCATTTGACTATACTTTTAATCATTCATGCTTTATGAGAGAACAATACTTTAAACAGTTTATTCTATAACAAATCATATAATCATACCAAATCTATCCTAAAAACACTTTATAGATATAATGTCAAATAACATAGGCAAAAAATAAAATAAAAGTATTCCTTGCTATCTAACTTTCTAAATATTCTATTATCGTATTTTGTCATCTAGCCACTGATAAAAAAGATCCCAAATTTCATAAAATTGTTTATCCTCTTGCTCTCTAATTTCAAATGTCAATCTACTCATCTCAGCACATTCCAATATTTTCTTAATAATTTCTTCCTGTGATGGTATTTTCTCATTCTTCCAGTTTTTAGCAAATACAATCCTAGCCGCTGTTAACACATTTACAATCAGGTATTTCAGATCTTTACTATATGTATCTGGTAAGACTTTTGTGGGAGCACCTACTTTCCATAATTATTCCCCCCCACATCACATATTTTAAATCATTATTTCATTAAGGTATTCCTGCTTCTCCTACTTCAAATCTCTCCTTTCAAAAAAAAAAAAATTTCCACTGAAATAACACAATCTAATTAATATTGACATTCATTTGTATCTTTCTCTCCAACTCCTTTATATCTTAACCATTTTATCCATTTCAATTAAATACTTATATTTTCCACAATTATTCCCCCCCACATCATATCTCAAATCCTTATTTCATGAAATGTTCCCCTTTTCTTAAGACAAGTTTCACTAAGTTATATTAAACATTTTATCACACTTTAAATTACACATTATTTCCAACTTTCTAAAATTATTTCTAAATACAAATATAAAAAACAATCTTATGTACCTTTAGAATCCCTTTATTAATAAAGTTTACCCATTATCTCTAAAAAACTTTTGTTTCTTTACATCTTGCTCTCTACTATTGAGGCTTCTCGTCCCCTTTCTCCCTTGCTTATTCTTCTCTCTGTCCTCTTTACCCCTTTGCCTCTCCACCTCCCTTTTTCTCTGCTTTCCTCCTTTCTGTTGTCTTCTAACATAATATCTCTTTTTCATCTTGTTTTTCTCTTTTTTGATTGCTTTTATAGGTCTTAAAGTCTCTTTTTCCTTTTTCTCTTTCTCCTTTCCTTCCCCAGCCAAAGTCACTTGTTCATCAAAAATGGCTTCTTCTTTGTCCCAGTCGTCCTGTTGTCCATTCAATTTTACATAAGTGTAGACCGCCATTTCTAAATACTGAAAAAGAGTATCAAAAACGTCCTTCCCTTCTTGCTTTTCTTTTTCATATTTTTGATATAAAAGTTTCAATCTGTCCACAAGTAATGCCATTATAAAGAGAAAAAGTTTTCCCAAGTAACCACCCAAGTGCTTTTAATCAGAGATAATTCTCAAAAGTGGTAAAATCACCAAGCAATCCAAGTAGGTTAATTCTTTTAAGTACTTTCTCCTTCACTTTCTCTTTCTGGGATTGGAGTTTGATCACAAAGTTCCATTTAATATATATCTTTCAGAAGCCTTGTTAGTATTTATAGCTCTTTAAAAATCCAGGCAGTCTTCTCCTTATTTTCAAATTCTAATCCGATTTTTCCCTCTCCCTTCCCACTCACAGCAAAAAAAAAATTTTTTAAAGTCTTTAAAAAAAATAATCATTCAGAAATCCTTATCTCTTCAGTATTTAATTACCTAGATTTTCAGATTTTTCTTGTTGTTCCATCCGCTGTCACGTTAGGAAGGAGAGTGAAGGAAAAAAAAAACTTTCCCTTTTAGAATTCTGTGCGCCGCTTGTAACTCTCTCTGGAAACAATGTAGCAACTTCTCCGTAGCAATTTTCAAGCCCCAGGAAACTTTCTTATCCCTTGGCAACTTTATCCCGGTCCAGAAACAACTCTCACGATTTCCCCGATTTTCTTCCTCCTGCACAATCTTATCCGTTTGCAGGTTTCTTCATGGTGGCCATTGCTGACCGCCGCTCCTCCGCCTCGGGAAAAGGGGGTTTTGCTGGCTGGGGAGGGGGTCTGCGACACCCCTTACCCCCCTTCCAGATCCCCCGTCTTCAGCTGCTCCTGCAGGGCAGCTATATCCCCCAGATCCAAATGGATCGGGGGAACCTTGGCAGTGAGCTCAGCAGGTATCGCGCTGGATCGCAAATCCCTGCCGCTGCCGAAGCCTCGCAAACCGGAACCTCCTCTCATTTTTATGCTCAAAGCCTGCCCAATAATCTTCCCATCAGTCTTCAACTAGTAACTATATATAAGCTAATATCAAAGAATGCTAGCTTTGTAGCTGAGGACCAGCCACAAAGTAATTTTTTTAGAGCTATAACATATATCAATATATAAATCATCAGAAGATTGCAGCAACAGCAACACCTGACACTTCTTAAAGCTGGATGTTTTACATGGAGCCGAATTGTTCAGCCCAATAAGAGTTTGCACCCAGCGTAACATCTTTCTGCTCCAAGCCACCTCTGTGTATGTTCTTTGGCTGGGACCTCTGGTTATCTTTGTAGATATCTCTTCTAGGTATTAAGGGAAGATGATTCTACAAATAAAGAGTACAGGTAGTGACTTATGACTCGTTCTTGCATTTTATGCAGGGGTAGGATACGACAGGGTTAACTACTGGTTCGGGATTTACGAGCTTCCCTGCAAACGCTGTGAGCCGCGCGCCTGTATATCACCATCAGCACGCTGTGTGCCGAGAAGCAGCCTTTGAAACAGCCCTCTTTTCCTGCTTTTTTAACTGCAGCTGTGCCTCGTTCGGCAGCTGAAGTTGAAAAATTAGGAAATAAAGATCAGGTAAGAGCCCGGGTGGACGGGTGGGCAAAAAAATCAGCAGACATAGAACCGGTTCTATGTCTGCTGCTCTTCAGAGCTACCGGTTCTACAGAGGTGGACAGAACTGGTAGAAACCCACCCCTGATTTTATGATTGTTGCAGCGTCCCCACATGGTGATGCGATCATGATTCGGACACTTGGCCATTTGCAACCTTCCCAGCTGGCTTCCAACAAGCAAACTCAAGCTGGCAGGGAAGGTTGCAAGTCATGCCCACATGATGTCTTTCTTCATGACCGTGGTGATCTGCTTAACCAGACGGTAAAGGTCATCAAATCACTTTGGTGGTCATGCAAAGTCTCATTTAACAACCACATGGCCTAACAATGAATTTTCTACCCCAATGGTGGGTGTATGTCAAGAACTACCTGCGTTTCTCAGTTATGGGGGCCACTTTGGGAAAGATGTCCTTTCCACGGTTAACCTCCTTTTGACCTCTAGCAATACTATTATTTTTGTTCTATATATTACACAGGCTATTTTACATCCATTGTTTAGTTTAAGCATCCACATATTATGGGTATTCTGGCTAGGAATTCCAGAAAACTGAAAGGGGGATTAGAAATATAATAGACACAGACACAAACACAGAGAGAGAGAGAGACAGAGAGAGAGAGACAGAGAGAGAGAGAGAGAGTCAGAGAGACAGAGACAGAGAGAAAGGGAGAGAGAAAGGGAGAGAGAGGAGAGAGAGAGAAAAAGAGAGAAAGGGAGAGAGACAGAGAGAGAGGGGGAGAGAGATTTCATCCAATGAAATGCTGTTTGATTCAGTCAGTTCACATTCAACTGCATATTTAATAACTATGTACTATAAAATTAAGGATGAAAAGCTACCTGTATATTACTAACTTACATTTTAATTTAGGGATTATTTAACAGCTCATCCGTTTAATAAATGTTGGTTGTTTAATATTTATAAAACACGTAAGGTATAACAAAAGATAGGGAGAATATGAATACCATCAAAAGTTTAGAACTGGGCCTTCCAGTTGTTTCTGTTTTTTAATCACTCTCTTAAGGTTTTTTTTAAATTAAGCATTTGATGAAAACAGCATTCTAGTAGGAGATCATCTTAAGAAATCCTTACCTGTCTCCACTGTTGCAGAACTGAATAGCAACGACCTTGTCCTTTAGAGTAATAAAACAATGGTTGTAATTATACTTTGTTTCAGTCAACTGTTCAATATTTCTTCCCTCTGCTCCAATCCTCCCTCAAGTATTTCTCACAGTTGATTCTACCCAATTAAGATTAAGTACCCAGAACTATATTAGGCCTGTTAGGTCCCAAAAACCAGGAAAGACATGTGGCGAATCTTCCAAGCAAGTTTCTTTATTGTTCCACACCTACAGACAGAATCTTGCCAAACTGAAGCAGACTACTATCCACATCAAACACATATTCTGGGAACGATTAGGGAGGAGCTGTCTTTATCCTCTTTCTTTCACACAAACTATCTAAACCAAGTTCCCTCTTGCTCTAGTCTAAAACATACTCCCCATCTCCTGAGAATCCAGACCGCTACATTCTAGCACAGGTACTCATTGATCGTGATTACTAAGCATTGATTTGTGGTTTGCAGGTGGAATGTTCTGGGACCAACAGTAGAAACTGATGATAGTGCAGCCACAGACAGCTTTAAACATACATGTATGTATGTATGTATGTATGTATGTATGTATGGTCAGCCTTGTGACTTTCAGTACCACCAGCAATCTGGTAAAATTATTACTCTCAGAAACTACTGGCACATGAACTATCAGCCATCTCTCTGATAACAATACATGAACTTTCCCCAAAACTTCCAAATGTGTGGATTTCAATCAGTGGTATATTAACCATTAAGCAGGCTAAGCATGTGCTTAGGGCACCAGGCCCAAAGAGGACACCACAAAGTTGAGAATATGGCTTCCTTTGTACAACATGTACAAAAGAGGAGGGCACCAAGATTTGTCAGTGTTTAGGGCACCAATGAGCCTTAATTTGCCACTGATTTCAATTCCCAGGATCCCTAATGCATATGCTTTTGAAAATTATAGGAACTGAATTCCAAGTACTGGAAGACTGTCCAGATCAGAAAAAGTTGTTATGCATTGTCAAATTACAAGACATTGCATCTCTGTGAAACTATACTTGTATTTTCTTACTTGCTGAATCCTTAGCTTGCTGGGGCACACCTCAATTATTGAAATGGCTCATAACACCAAATCTTTTTTTTAATAACCAATGAGCATTCTACTTCTTTGAAGAAGCTTGACACATGCATTGGTAAGCAAATACTATATTTTTATAGGAAAAACTTATTCCTATAAGATTTCCAAAAGAACTAGGAAAACTGCCTCTTCAAATAGGGGGGAAAAAGGTAGGCTACCCAAGAGTTGTTCTCTAAAATTGTGTTTTGGGGGGCATCTCTCACACACAACACCAAAATCTTCTCTTCAAATCAAATGACTAAATCCAAGTTTCTCCTTGGATGTAATCCTTACCATGTGAGATTCGAGCTCTGCTATTTTTTCTGGAGATTCAGAGCCCAAATAATATATTCGGATCACATGGTCTGTGCTTCCTGTTGCAATAAACATACCACCTTAAAAAAAAAATCAAAAGAAATGAAAACGGAAAGTTATATTTAATATTTCAATCTGGAGCAGTTAACATAGTCATGCCAGATTTCATGATTCGTTTTTCAAAGGAGCAACCCATTTGATGAGTTTTAAGCATTCTGTATACTCCTCTAAAATCTTTCCCTAAAATTACTGTATCATTGCAATTTGAGAAAACTGGGTTTGAAATGTAACCAATCAGCCTAGCATTTAGAATGCTACTACCATGGAACTAAGGAAAGCCACCTGCATATTTCATTAATTTGTTTTAAAAAGGGAAATAACAAAAGAACCTATTATAGCAATTGTCTCCTTTAAGTTTCAAGAGAAGCATTCAAGGATGAAGTTCCTTCTAAGACAGTTTTGAGTGTAAATTAAATTATAAGCAAAACCGGTTTATTCCAAGGCTGAATATAAATTTAATGCTGGTTTATTTTACAAGTTACAATTTCTATGTATAAATGTACAAAACTTACATAGTCAAAAATTTCAACTAGTGCAAGACTAAGAATCAGAATATTTATTGTATTTATTTATAAAATTTATTAGCTGCCCAGCTTACCATAGGATAACTCTGGGTGGCTTACAATTACATATACACTTAAAACCTAATGAGTTAAAATCAGACATTAAAACCTAGGATACGTGGGGAGCAGAGGTTGGTATTCAGCAGGTTCTGACCAGTTCTGGAGAACCAGTAATGATTTTTTTTTTTTTGGTAAATTTTATTTGAGTTCTCACAAAAAAAAATACAAATAAAACATCTTTTTTGAAAGTAGCGTAATCCCGGGTTACATTTCTTCGTACAGACACAAATTCAATTTCATGCTCATTTTTATGTTCTATTCCATATCTTATTGCTGTTTTACATTTTCTACATAGCTTCTCCCCTCTTTTAATTTTCTCAATTTTATTTTAATTATCTCGTCTCAATTCAAATCATTTTATTTATACTTTTTGTCTGTCCTGTTTCAATTATCTATTAACTTTTCTCATTAAACAAAGTTTCTCCTGTAGTTGCTGATTGGAGTATGACACCTTTATATCTTTTAAGCTTATCCATTTAACTCTTATTTAGGCTTCAATATATACCTTAAAGTTATAACATTCTATATAATACATAACTTCCAGAACTCCCAGTTAACATGCTGACCAGGGAATTCTGGGAGTTTTAGTCCACCCAACTGAACATTGCCAAAGTTAGAAACACTGCACTAAACCAAAACTCAGACAAATAGATGGATCGACATATGTAAGGGCAGCCACATCCAGATTAGCGGGGTGGGGAGGGAATGGGATTTTGCAGTAACCTTCCCCTGTCACGCCCACAAAGCCACACCTACCAAGCCACGCCAAGCCCACAGAACCAGTAATAAAATTTTTTTGAATCCCACCACTGACGGGGAGGGCAGGGACCTCCATTGTGTTGTTCTCCCACTGGATCCCCAAGCCAACTGGCAAAGCCATATCTTTAGGCCCTTATGAATAGATCCCATCGTGGGGCAATGCAGAGGGCAGGAGCAACAGCAGAGAAGGCCCAACTCCTAGACCCCGCCAGCTGGAATAATTGGCCTATTGGGACCCGCACCAACCCTCCTCTGCCCACATGAGGAGGAGGGGCCAATCCCAGTGGGCTGAGATGGTACCTCCAATAACCTGGACCTGAAGGGCTATTTCAGAAACCAACTGCTTTATGTACATCTATACATTTATGCACAGAATTGTCTCTGAACAAAAGTAAACTCATTTTCCTAGCACCAAAATGCTTGCTGGATATTTTGGACACTGAAGACTGGAAACAATTTATTTATTTATTGAATTAAAAAGCTTCCTGTCTATTCCAATGGAGGGAAAATGTACAATGCTGCTTTTCATTTTTTTTTAAAAGATAACTATTCCTGACATAAATTCGTAAATTCCTTTGGGATTTCTATTTATACGTACCAGAACTAAAAGATGAACAAGATATTTGAACACCAGGTCTGGATCTCTCTGTAAATTTCACTGGCCGATCCCTGAAGTTATGAGACAACATTTTAATTACTTTACATCAGACAATGCAAAGAAGGACTAAGCCTGCAATTCTACATTCAATTTCCTAGGAATCTGTATTAACAAGCCCACTTTTGGAACATAGATAGTATTGCACTCTTGGCTGGATTCCTTAAGACGTTTATTTGCCATAAGCTAAATAAATAAATCCTTAAGACATTAAGAGTTCATTGTCTCAAGACTCCAAATGATAAAACTTCAGTATGATTGTACTTTAGCTGATCAGTTTTGCTGAACAAGTTTACTTTTCAAAAATTTAGCTTGTCTTTTTTGTAACTTTCTTAATTTCTTCTCAGAAATATTTCATTCTGCCTAACATTTGGACCTGGCACACCTGGGAGGAAAAAAAAAGATTTGAAACTTCCATTTCAACAGGGATCATTACTTCATTGAGGAAACCACATTTTGCACGGAAAAAGCTCCAAGGTCACCCTTGATAAGATACTGCTATGAAGAAATATACAAATGGGATCAAGGCAGTCAAGTTAAAAGTATTTTAGGGAACAGTACTGAGAAATCTGTCTCAATTCTTAAGATCTAATTACTTGGTTCACACATTGCACTAAACCAGGGTTTCTTAACATTGGCAACTTTAAGATATGCGGACTTCAACTCCCAGAACTCCCAGCTAACATGCTGACCAGGGAATTCTGGGAGTTTTAGTCCACCCAACTGAAAATTGCCAAAGTTAGAAACACTGCACTAAACCAAAACTCAGGCAAATAGATGGATCGACATATGTAACAACAACCACATCAATTTCAATTCCGTGTTTTCCATCCAAAAGTACATAAAGAGATAAACTGGATCTTTTCGTTTGCTCAGAGTTATGCTTTCCGCTTCCACATTCTTCTAATTTATCACAGAGAAATTCTGTATCCTTCAAACACCTGGGATTTTAACATCTATATGCCTTAGACAGCAAATTCAGCAGAAAGATTTATATGAGTTATAATCAGAAAGGTCCGGAAGAATTCAGATTGTTTGTCAGTCTTCATTCTCAACTGATGCTACACTTAATTATAATGCACAGTTGTTTTATCTTTTATCTCTTTCATTGCATCAATCTAGGGATTCTAATAAATGCTACTATCCCTCCTGAAATTTATATAGCATTGCTGCTCAGTAGCAAAGGCCAAGAGAATAGATCAAATAAAACAACATACTTGAATTTCATTGTGTTTAAATGCCATTGCCAGAAACAAATTGTTCCATCAGCACCAGTAGAAGTGAGGTATCGAGTTGTTCCTTTTCTTGCAGGGGAAAACTAAAAATCAAAAGAACAAAAGTTGTAATAAACAGGCAAAATACTTCCTTCCTACACCTTTACAAAAATGCAACAGCAGCCATCTGCTAACACAAAAACTTACCATTTTGATATGAACCATATTCCCTTTATAATTAAGAAAAGCGACAGATCAGACAAGAATATTCAAAGAGCAAGTGATCTGACAAAGCCAAAAATCGTTTGAAGACTATTAACCCAGAAAATAGCAAGGAAATGCAGTTTTAATTCTCGCTGTTTAGCAAAAAGTAAAGGCCTGGGAAGAGCAGAGGAAATCCTCCCTTCTCTCACCTGTATGGAAGTAATGGACGCTGAGTGGCCCAACAGCACCGCCACTGGTGCACAAGTTCGAAGACACCAGACTCTGACAACCTTGTCACAACTGCCTGCAGCAAGGAGGGTATTCTCATAACTGACAGCCATGTCAGAAATTTCAGCTGAATGTCCTCGGAGGGTTGAAAGCAAACGCCCGTTATCTGTAGCCCAAATTTTCACCAAGCAATCATCTGAACCCTAATGTTTCATGCAAAAAACAACAACAGAATAAAAGAGTCAGAAGGGACTTTGGAGGTCTTCTAGTCCAACCCCCTGCTCAAGCAGGAAACCCTATGTCAACCCTGAAGTTGGCCGAACGGTGGGCATTTTCTTTTGGGTAGTTTTCTCTAGGGAGTTTCTTCTTCTCACAGCTTCAGGGCTGACAGAGCCTGGAGCGAAGGAGCCACGGAGTGGGGATGCAGAGATAGCTGGGGCGCTGTAGCCAAAATAAAACTATTTCTCCTGGGAACCAAGGACATTGGTGCAGGTGTTCGAAAGGTGGAGACTGTGGTCACCTAGCAACTGGGCTGTATGCTGATTGGACCACGGGACTGGAGATTCTGGGTGGAAGTGACAAAGTTTTACTTTTATTTGGGGGGGAAAACCAGCAGCAATTTAGAGACGGTTTTCCACCAGGAATGTGCCAATTTGGTATGTCCCAGTAAAATGTTCTTTGAGGAATTTGCCTGCCTTGGAGTTCTTATTGAACGGGATGTATTACTTGGAATCCTGACACTCTATACCATTCAGACCATTTCAAACTCCAAAGTCTAACATGCAGAAATGCCACTCTTTCCCCGTAAGACTCCTTTAAAAAAAAAAAAAAATACCTTATTAAAGTTCAAGATATTAAAAAGTTTCCAAAAAGCAGAATATGAAAAATGTTTACAAAAATTTCTGTAATAGAAATTATATCGACATCTTTCAATATCATTTTCTTGACAGTACACTAAATACCATATATACACATAGAAGCCCACTAAGACGGCAGAGTTTCTCGATTTTGGCAACAGTAACCAACAAACAAATAACATTTATTTAACATTTATAACATTTGTAGGATTCAGTATTTGAAACATAACGGAAGTTGATTTCTGAAGCCAATAATGATACAGTAACACCACCTAGTTTCAGAAAACATATTATACAAATTCAAAGTAAAACCCCCAGTACAAGAAGCTTTAAAAAGCTTTAAAACCCCCAGTACAAGAAGCTTTAAACCCCCAGTACAAGAAGCTTTAAAAAAAAAAAAGAGCCCAGCAAAATTATTCAATGTTATGGAATATTTCAATTCTATTCCACTCACAGTGAAAATTCGTCTCCCAGCACGATCGAACGCTATACAATACACAGATGATAAATGGCCCAGAATTCTCTTGTGCATCTTGATGTGTTGATAAAAAGATGTTGGGAACAAATGGCTGAAACGTCCATATCCAGTCAACTGTCTGGCTCCTATTAGGGTCACTGCCAAATGAGAAAAATGCTGTTATCCTGATTATGCTTTTCTTTAATTGACCTCATTTTAATGGTCTATTCTTGTCTGCCGGCAAAAGAGAGTGTTATCCTGGGTAAGAATTAGCACTTGAGTTAAATATCTGCTCTAGGAACATTTTGGGAAAGAGGTGACATTCATAGATTTTCACGGGTACAGGTATGCAGGTCTTGTTCAGGTCTTCTCCCGTGTAAGATTGAGAGTATCTTGGCGACGTTTCAACGAGGTCCCACTCGCCATCTTCAGGTTGGTACTTTCGGCTTTGTGCTTGTGCGAGCAAAGCGTGATCGGAGCTGCCGTCTCTCTATAAATACTGGTGGGGAGGTTGGCTGTGTTGTCATTTCTTGATTGGTTGATGGAGTTGATGTTTGCAAAAACATATATATATATAAACCCTGCCATTGGCCTTTCATCATTTGTTAAAGCAATGGCAATTTTTTTTATACACATACACATCTCTCTCTCTCTCTCTCTCTCTCTCTCTCTCTCTCTCTCTCTCTCTCTCACACACACACACACACACACACAGACACACACACATATAAATTTGCCATTGCTTTAACAAATGATGAAAACACACAGACACACACACATATAAATTTGCCATTGCTTTAACAAATGATGAAAGGCCAATGGCAGGGTTAATTTAGAACAGAACAGCCCAATGACATACCAGCAATTTAGGAAATTATCCAGAGAGAAAAGCACAGCTAATGTGGAAACTTCTCTGTGTTTGTTTCTCAGTCACCGGAATGTTTATTCACTCAATGGCTGGCAAATTCTTTGAGCGTGAATTTGGGTATCTAATCTGAAGTTACAATGAAGCATTTTCCTAATTTAATCATTCTGTTCCAGATTGCATTCCTAAAATTAGGATGGATCCTTTGGCTTCAAATAGCAGCCATGTTTTCATTATTAGCAGAGGAGAGAAAAAGAAATCCTTTCTACTTTAAGCCTTGTAACCGTTCCAAGCTGACCCGCTGAAAGTTTGCCCACTGTGGTTAAAGTACCAGGCTAGAAAGCCAGAGGCCGTGAGTTCAAGTCCTGCCTTAGCCATGAAAGCCAGCTGGGTGACTTTGAGCCAGTCACTCTCTAGGAAGCCATGGTGGCGCAGTAGTTAGAATGCAACGTTGCACGCTAACTCTTCCCGCTGCCAGGAGTTCGATCCTGACTGGCTCAAGGTTGATTTATATTTCCAAGGTCGGTAAGATAAGGACCCAAAATTGTTGGGGGCAAGATGCTGACTCTGTAAACCACTCAGTGAGGGCTATAAAGGACTGTGAAATGGTACCTAACTCTAAGTGCTGTTGTTATTGTTCAGTTCAACCCACTTCACATATACTGTTGTGGAGAAAATAGGAGAAGTATGCATTGCATGTGTTTGCCACCTTCAGTTATTTGTAAAAATAATAAAGGTGGTGGGATAGAAACAAACAAAACATTGAAATATAGCATTAGCATATAAGAAAGTTGTTCCTTACCCACATTTGGTGGCTTCCCATAGTTTATGGGGACTTCGGGAGGTCTGCCCCGATGGAGGGCTGCAAATGCGGAACCTTTCCAGGCCGTGTGCCTGCATTCTGTGCAAACGAGATTCAGAGCAGATCAATCAATTTATTACAATCTTAGTGTCAACTCATAAAATATTTCTATGGTCTTTTTAGAGTTGCCAACAGAGACAGGGAGGGGGGAGCAGTGCGGCAGCTTGCAAACCAAAACTACATTCCATAAACTTTTTCAAAGATAGTAACTAGGTGACTGAAGTTTCTGCCGGGCAAAATTCTAACTGAATTTGGCCATGAATGTGTCCCATTGCAGAACATGAATTGTGATACACCCAGGGGGTGGGAGGAAAACCAGGGTCAAGGGTGACAATGAATGATGTGTCTCAGAGAGTCGGCTACATCCAGGCAATGCCAGACATGTTAACTCCCAATAAATCCTTTTGAAGTTTTGGAACTTTGGCTCAAGACTCAGGATTTGAATGGGGTTAAGTGCTGGAATCCTGACACTTAGACCAGAGACCAGAACAAATAAAAACGCTCAGTAAATATACAATTAAAAATTCTAGTATAAAATAATAAACAACTAAACTCTATAATAAAAATCCAGTCCATCAATTATAAATGGTCTAACTATGCTACTATTACAGTCCATAAACTGTGTGGCCCATTGTAGGTTCAATGCTAAAAGGGAAAAGACTAAGCAGCGCAAAGGGTTTGCCACACTTGTTGTATAACGTAACTATGGTGGAGAAGAGACGTGTTTGCAACGAAGCCCCAGTGCTGCTGTGCAGAATCTGGCCACCTGTGCTGTAGTTATGGACTATTCATCCTTAAGCAGCCACTGTGTCAACTCAGAAAACTTTCTTATGCCTGTTTTAGTTGTTGCCCTTAAAAAAAAAAATGGGAGGGGGGAGGAAGGAAATCTGGAAGAGCAGTTGAAAGCGAAAGTACGTTCCAACTCTTATCTTTAAAAGACTGTAACTAAACTACCCGAGTTTTTGCCTGCAAACATATTTAATTTGGAGAACATGAATGATGACACCCAGCCCGTGAACGAGCTCAATTGGAGAATCTGGGGAGAGGAGGAAAACAGGATCACAGGGGACTGTAAATTATGTATGCCAGAGTTGGCTTCATACAGGGCAGTCCCAGTATGTCACCTCTAATGAACCCTTTGAAGTTTTTTGACGTTTGGCTCAAGGATCATGATTTAATTAGGGTGATTGCTGGAATCCTGTCACACCGAAGATAGGTAGTATCAGAGCAGACAGGATACCAAGCAGTTAAAGGCAGAATATGTTTTTTCCCCTAATCTCCGTGTAAAAGGAACATCTAAGGAGCATGTGAGCCACATTCTCCACCTCTCCTGAGCCGCAGGACCAGAGTCCTTCCATCAATGATATTCTTTTATACTTGCTGTACAGGGAGGCCGATGGAAGCGCATGGCCCCGTGTGAGTGAAAATGCTTTCTGGTGGTTTGTGGACTTCAACTGACTAAGACAGCTGGCAGGAGCAACAACACATCTAATGGCATCTGGGGCCAGAAACAGCAGAGCTTTTCCTGAGTCCGCTAAGAGCGGGTCAAAATCCTGACCTGTAGCCCAGTTATTATTATTTTTCCTGCTCAAAACTATACAGTACCCCTTTTCCTGCTCTTTCCCATCCTTTTCTTCTCTGCCAAGCTGTTTGCAGGAAATGGTTTTAGTTCCTTTTTCAAAAACCAAGACACGTCAGAAAATCCACGTTTCCAAAAGACCCCTTTCCCTGCCTCTTTTAAGGTTTTGATTTACCCGTTTTAGTTACCCTGTTATTAACTTGTCGGAAGAGGGACGCAGTTAAAAAAAAAATCATGCTTCAACCGCTTAGAGCCTGCGGCTTGTTCTATTGTACGGGACTTTGGTTGCAAACCTTGCCTCTAGAAGGTGGAATATATGTAAAAGAACAACGTCTTACCTTTGGCTGCCCTTAGTAAAGACTGCCGTCCCACTCCTAGTAAAGTTTGCACTCCAAGTACACTTTGTGGGATCTCCTTATCTAACAGAGGTCCAATTCGCTCACAGATTTTAAGGAGGTAATCCGGGGGGATATGAACATTGGCTGCTACCTGAATATTTTTAAAAATAAAAACAATAATAATATATGAGCAGGCTTTGTTTTACATCCAACCTTAATTTGAGAGAGGCCAAGAGAAGTCAAGGTAGAAAGCATTTACAGGAAGTCCTCGACTTGCTAAGCAAGGCAGTTGAGAGAGAAATGTCCGATTCTACGAACTTTTTGGGCAACTTTTAGGTTGTTAAGCGGATCATCGCAGTGAAGTGAACCGTATAGTTGTTAAAACAATTAGGTTCCCCCCCCACTGACTTTACGAGATGCGAAGCCCCCCCAGGGCGGGTTGTAAGTGTTGATCACATGATCCCCAGGACATGGCAACATGTTGCAATTACATGCATGTTGCCAGGTACATGAATTTTGATCACATGACTGCAGGGGGGATGCTGAAGTGGTCATAAGTGCGAGGAGCAGTCGTAAGTCACTTTTTCTACTGCCGTTGTAACTCCAAATGGTTGCTAAATCAATGATTGTAAGGCAAGAACTGCCTGTACTTATACTTTTCTTAATATTTGTGAGTGACCCACCAACTCCTTCCTCTTTCACCGGCTCAGTTCTATACCCTAATCGGAGTAAACAAAGCAGAAAGGAACATATGTATATTAAGCTAGTAGCTTTGCTGCGAAACTATGTGATTGGGCTTAGTTTTGGGGGAGGAAAATAAGGGGAAAAATTCTGCCTCTGTCTACCAGCATCCATTGGTATTCATCTGGCTAGTGTCCTGTCAGTGTGTGAGAGAGGGCTGTTTGGAAACTGAATCAGTATTTGCTGTGTGAGCAAGAAAGAGACAGCAAGGATCCTGGGCGTGACTTAACTCAACCATTCTGTACTTGCTGCTGTGAAACTAAAACTGAAACTCCTCTCCTCTGCTTGTGTTTTGCATTTGGAATAGATTTCTTTTCAGGTAGGGAAGGGGAGTAGAACTCCTTAGCATCAGAGCGTGTTAATAATGATATATGAAATACTAATGGTTCTGGAGATTTTGTGATGATGCGTGAGTGGTATTTTGCGTGTGTGTGTGTGTGTGTATATATGTGTGTGTATGTATTTCTTCCCTCTTGTGTAAATACCAGCAGTCCTCGACTTACAACAGTTAATTTAGTGACCATTCAGAGTTACGACAACACTGAAAAAAAAGTGACTTACGACCATTTTCCACAGTTACGAACTTTGTAGAATCCCCATGGCCACATGATCAAAATTCAGATGCTGGGCTACTGGCTCATACTTATGACCATTGCTGTGTCCCAAAGTCATGGGACTGACAAGCCAAGTCCATTGAGAAGCCAGATTCACTTAACAACTGGGTGACTAATCAATTGCAGTGATTCTCTTAACAACTGTGGCAAGGAAGGTGGTAAAATGAGACAAACCTCACTTAACAAATGTCTTGCTCTTAACAACAGAAAACTTGGCCTCAATTGTTGTCGTAAGTTGAAAACTACCTGTATTGCAAATCTATTGAATCGTGAATTGCACAAAGGGAGGCTCAGCCAATCTCATTGTACACATGTTGTACTCTGACAATAAAAGTAATAATAATAACAATAATAATGATAATAATAACAATAACAACAACAATAAAGATGAAAAAGAAATCTTGTGTTATCCCAATTGTAATTGGAGCCCTTGGAGCAAATACCTAAAGGGCTGCCTTGCTATTTGGAAATTTTGAATTTATCAGACTTGAATACCACGATTCTACAAAAAACCTACTTGGAACAGCTTATATCCTCCGACTCTACCTGAACAGTTCCTAGGTCCTTGGTTAGGACTTGAGCTGTCGAGCTATCAACCAGCCCCAAAGGCTGTGAATCTCACTAAAGATTAACCAGTAAAGATGAAACAGTGACCATTTAATCAGTGGGTGCAGCAAAATTTCACAAACTGACTACCTAGAACGCCATAACTGAGTTGCTAAAATCATTCACTGGAAACTGTGCCAAAAGTTTGGATTTGAGTATAGTAACAACTACTGGGAACATCAGGTTGAGAAGGTTCTGGAGAATGAAAAAGTCAAGATCTTGTGGGACTTCAGAATTCAGACGGACAGGCATTTGGCCCACAACACGCCTGACATAACAATAGTTGAAAAGAAAAAGATTTGGTTCATTGACATTGCAAATATCGGGACTTACAAATTGAAGTTGAGCGACTTTGGAAAAAGAAATTGTGTGTTATCCCAATTGTGATTGGAGCCCTTGGAACAATACCTAAAGGGCTATCTCACTATTTGGAAATTCTGAATTCATCAGACTTGAATACCCTGATTCTACAAAAAACCACCCTACTTGGAACAGCTTATATCCTCCGACGCTACCTGAACAGTTCCTAGGTCCTTGGTTAGGACTCGAGCTGTTGAGCTACCAACCAGCCCCAAAGGCTGTGAATCTCACTAAAGATCTAATAGTAATAATAATAACAACAACAATAAAGAATCCATAGATTCGTCCTTCAGAATAAGTAACATGTATTCCAAACACGGAGCCTTGTGCGTACAAGCAATGAATCCTCTCATTCATTTCTATGAATCCTCTCTCATTCTATTCTTCACTCTTTAATAAAAGTCATCCATGCAATTTCTCATTACTTACTTCCTACTGTAATGGTTTGATACATTTTCATTTTAAAAATGCATTTCATTTTAAATACAGCAAATGATAAAAAAGGCCTGTGGGTTCCACCCCCCTCCAGAAAGACAACAGTCTTCCCAAACACTTCTGACTGCGGCTCAGTGCGGAAATCACAGCAAACCATGATTTGTCTTCTGAAATACAGGTGCAAAATGCAACGCTACTGATGACGATGGTTGGAGGTGAACAGCAGAATCTCTAGAAAGCAACAGATGTAAGATAAATCTATAAAGGTGGTCCTGGACTTACAACAGTTCCTTTTAGTGACCGTTCAAAGTTACAATAGCCCTGGAAATAGTGACTTGTGACTGTTTTTCACACTTCTGATCACGGCAACATTCCCGTGGTCATGTGATCAAAATTCAGCCGCTTGGCAACAGGCAAGAGAGATTGTAAAATAGTGCAAAATTCACTTAATAAATGTTTCGCTTAGCAACAGAAATGTTGGGCTTGGTTGTGGTCACATGTTGAAGACTATTTGCATAACACTCTTGGCTAGTCAACACTATGCCCAGTTT